CATAGAAGGCCACTAGGTTGGTCAGGCAGGAGTTGCCCTTGATGAAGCCATGCTGGCTGTCTCAAATCACCTTCCTGTCCTCCATGTGCCTTAGCATAGCTTCCAGGGGGATCTGTTCCATGATCTTCCCAGGCACAGACGTGAGACTGACTGGCCTGTAGTTCCCCGGGTCTTCCTTTTTTCCCTTTTTAAAAATGGGGGTTATGTTTCCCCTTTTCCAGTCAGTGGGAACTTCACTGGACTGCCACAACATCTCAAATACCTTGAAAGTGATTTCCACTCCATTGTTGCTTGACAGTGTATGTGAAAAAAGTTCATGTTTCCCACCTAGTACCTTGCAGATGTGCAACCAGAGCATAGAAAAAAAAAAACCAGCCTCATATGACCTGCTTTAACTGATGGTAATTAACTCCTTTGTTAGTACTATTGAATATCACAAGAAAAAATCTTTGCCTTTTCCTCATTTCTTTTAAGTATTAATTCTCAGTTATCTTAATAACAGGTAGTAACTCCCTGGCAACCATCTGACACTTGCTCGTGTAATCTTTCAAACAAATAGGGCAAAGAGTTAAAGCGCTGTCTTTTTCCAGACACTTCTAGTAGTTCTCTGCCTTCTTGCTCTCCTTTTAACAATTGAAAATGTTACATGCAACTTTGCTTTACTACTAATAAAAGATTAGTGAACTGAAATGTTGTTACAACCTTTCAGCCCATTTCCAGACCATAGGGGTTTGAGGTCAAAGCTGCAATAACATGTTTGATCACTAAAACCTTCAGGTTTGAAACAACAAAACTATGTCCTGATCGCTAAACAAACAGAGCTGCCAACACTCAAAATTTTTCTGCAAGTTTTTCTTAAATCAGAAGTCCTAGTTTTGACCAGGTCAGTCTGTCTACTTTTTGACATGTATCCTGGTGTACAATAGCTAGCAGAGCAAATTATTTCATTTCTCAGTCTAAAAGGCTCAAAAATCCCTTTCAGTTTAAAAACTATTTCCTGGTACATTCATACTTTCCTGATTAAGAAAGAGAGTCCTCATTTTTCCCCAGATACCTGGGATCAGTGAATTAGGTATAGTTTTCTCTTAACTCAAAACATAACTCAGAGCTGCTTCCATCTTCTTATTTTTTTTCTCTTCCATGAGAAATATAAGTACATGCTAATATTCAAAAAACTTCCTGAAAGTTTTCTTGGCTCATTTGGCTTTGAGTGATCAATGTGTTGGCAGTAGCTCCGTACATCTAGGGTGCAGAAATGAGAAGCAGAGGCAATTGCTGTCTGAAACTGTTGATGTTTTCTTCTGTGCAGCAGAGGAACTGAGCTGCTGCCAGTGCTTGGAAGAATCTGCAGAAATAGTTGTGATAGACATTACATGTTGCTCTTATTCCTCTGACTTGCGGAAACTAGATGGCTGCTGGCATGGGGAGATACTGCTGCCGTTGCTGACTGCTGTCATGGGAAACAGTTTGTCCCCCTTTTGAGCTCCCTGGGGATCACAAGCAATGGTTTGGAAATCCCTGCTCAATGACAACCATGTGAAACTATGGTTTGTACTGCTCAGTCTGTACTCTTTATGGCAGAGTTAAAATATTTTGCAGATAAAGTCCCATCTAACGGTGGCACATTGTAGAAGGGACAAATCTTACAGCAAACACCACCTCACTGCTGCATGAGATAGCCAAACAGAGGGGAAGCAGTGCAGATGGCTGGGGAAGCACTTGTACAGCAATGGAAAATGGTGTGGAGATACCCAGACTAACAATGACTGAAATCTAGGCCAAGGCCCACCTAATAATAACATTTTCTATGACAGCTAACAAGCTGCTGACAGCTGCTGCAGGGTGCCTGCGCTGGCTGGAGTAATGATGAGTAAAGCTAAAGCTGAGAAACTGGAGAAAAGAAAGGGATAATAGCTCAACAGACCAAAGCTACATTAGTAAATATGTCTTATACCTTATTCTAAAGGTTACTGGCAAGTTTGGAAAAACTCCAATATGACAAGACTGAAAATACCAAACTCATTATCAGGGCTTTAAATGTCAATTTAAGCATGAGTAAAAACAAAAATCACCTTGGTAGACAGTTAGTAACAAAACACAATAGATTAGGATGTGTATTATATAGAGGAAGCCAGGGCTGATAAGCTTTGGGTATTTACGCCAGTCTTTTACTACTTTGCTCCTTACCATACTAACCTAAAAAAGTTTGGATTGCTTTTAACAAGTGTACAAGAAGCAAGTATGCAGGATATAATGCTGAAAGTAGCAATAATAATAAATATAAGTGCACATAATGGGAAAAGGCACATCTTTATCTAGATGCTTTAAGGCTCCAATCCTTTTCTTTTTATGTTCACAATCATCACTTGAGTTTTGCTTTAGCCTGGGTGTAGACTGTCTCTTGGTGTTCCTGCTCTGGTTGGCTTGGGAAACATTATGTAGACTTTGTGATCTTCTGAACTATGTGCCATCAACACGTGCGGTTCTTGTATCCTTTCTTCTTCTGGTGTTCCCACTCCCAGACATTCCTGTTCATGCCTCATCCATACCAATCCTAAGCTTTTTGCTACCGACGTCTACAAGTTCTGGTCTCAAGAGCTTTTGAGTTTCTGTGCAGTGGACCTTCATGGCTCTTCATGGGGCTAATGTTTCATTTGGGATAAGAAAGGCAGCTCAGCTGATGTTAGGGGCCCTCTGCCCCTTTACCTCATTGCAAGTCACTCTCTAAGACTGAACAGTGAAGGCTGATCCCTGCCCAGGCTACAGGGGCAGGATGCCTCTCAGAGGACCTGTGAGACACAAAGTCCCAGCACAGGACCTTTAAGCTGAAGCAGGCGGTCTGTTCACCTGAAGCTTTTGTGGGGGTTGCAGTTTTGTGGAAGTGGGACAAAGCCAGTTTCCTGGTGGAAATTCCCTGTTGCTCTGATAAACACAGCAGAGCCCTGGCAAATCAGAGCAATAGATTTAAAGGTTGCTGTCACCCAGCTGTCTGAATCTGAGGTTTTTGTTTCTGTGACATTGTCTTTTAAGAGAGATAATGCCAGCATGCTTTGTTTTCTTTTCACCTTGCTCTGCTGCCTTTGTTGCTTTTTCTTCCTTCTTTTCAGGTACTGCTGCAAAACAAAGATAAGGTTTAAGTAAGATTTCTACTCAGAAGTCTTGCTCCAACCGACAAAGCTTTTCTTAAATGCTTACAGATTACTTTGAGGCAAATGATTTAAAAGATTTGCAACCATGATATACCTTTTTTCCCCTGATATATGACTACATAATAAGAATTTTTTACCTATCTATCTTAAAAAGAAAAGAGGAAAAGCAAACAGGGAAATTTTTTCTTTCAGAAAATAAATAGCAGCATTGTCTTCTAGATCTCAGGTGCAACAGAGGCTAAACTGCAGGGCATATCGCATAACGGAGGAGAAAGCAAAGCCAGAAGGTCTCTACTTTGCCACCCATGTAAGGGTTCCCCATGCGAGTGTGGTTTTCTGTTTGCACCAGCAGAAACCTCCGCTCTGCATCCCTGACACAGCAAAATACTTCCACATAGCCTAAATTTTAAGCGTGTAGTTAGTCTCAAAGAGGATAGTGGGCCACAGTTAGACTGTATGTTACAGACACCTAACTTAGTCCTTGTGAATACTGCGATTTCTGCGTGCAAGAGAGAAGAGTGAGCCAAACCCCTTGTGCAGCAGGGCTGCTAGACATTTACTGATGCCAGGGGAAGCAGTTGTAACAACCCAGGTCAGGATGTCTGGACATATCCAACTGATTATTCGCAAGCTTTAGCTTGCACAGTTCCTAAATTGATTTGCACAGCTTGAGAGACAAGGGACAGAGATTATCTGTTCATGGCTCCATGCTAAGGATTAAATAATCTAAGAGGAGGAGGTGCAGGAAGGAATTCCTCCAGACTTTGCTCTCTTAGGAAACTTACATAAATATGGGTATCTTTTATAGTTTCTGACAATTTACATGGCAGGTTTGGCAATGTACAAGATTTCCTGTAGATTACTGAATATATTTAGGACAACATATATATTTTCTCATCTAATTGAATTATTCAGGGTTAAGTCTTGCAAATATGTAAACATATTTGTTTAGCTGTAAATGGCACTGCCAACACTTCACTTTTTTAAAACCAAGCTTTTGTAGCCATAATTTATAACTATTATGCTGAATGAGAAGACTTGCTTTAATTTAAAAAAGGTATCCTCTTACAGTGTTTGAGACAAAAAAAGCATCACTAAGAAAATAAGCTTCACTGTCATTGCCTAGTTTAAAAGTAGTGCAAAGAATAAACAATCAGCATAAATGGCAGGATATAAAGCAGATGGTGAAAATTAATTTACATCAAATGACTGATAAGTACAGAAATGTCTTTGCAGCTACAGAGTTATCAGCACATAACATCCCCTCAGCTTGTTATTTCAACCTGTCAAGCACAGAAATAATTTCAACACAATGTTTTATTACAGCAAATCACAGTTGTAAATTAAGAGCTTGGCTTTTGGAGCCAAGGTAAATACTGAGGGTCATGTTCTGTTACCATTATTTATGCTGAGAAATTCAGGGAATTCAAAGGACCTGCGAAGTGCCTCCAGGTGTGCTCGCTGTTCTTGGAGGGATGTCCTGGTGGCCCCACTGGGGCTGGACTTGCAGCCCAGGCAGCAGGGAAGCCTTCTGAAGCTGCTGGGCATGATGGCCCAAGCAGGCCAAATGAGTTAGTAAGCTATGGCCTGTCTGCAATGTCTGCAAGTGGGCCGGAGGCCAAAAGAAGGATCTTGTGTTCCCAGCAGAAAACCTTTCCTGAGGTTCAGTGAAATGTCAGGTATGGACAGATGAACTGCTTCACATTGAGTGGGATGGACCAACTCACACACATCAATCACTCCCTTGCCACTTGCTCTTGTTTATCCCAGGATGCTGTGGGGTGAGCAGGTGTTTGTGAGCAAGCTCCATGAAAACAGTGAAATATTGCACCTCTGCGCCTCAGTTACCTCAGGTAACTTATTTTATTGAAGATAATCTTCAGTTTGCCTGAAAATCAAGTCCAGGCTGAAAGGATGACTGACTGGATCCACAGGGAAAAAAAAAAAGTGAGTACTTCGTTTCTATCCAAGTACCTAACTTTGCATTTGTGTTGCTTGTCATAGAGAAAGCCAAAGAGGAGCAAAGTCCCTTCATATTTATTGTAGATCTCTGCTATTAACATCCATGTTACTTAGGCCCAGATCATCAGGGCTACTTAAATCAGCAATATACTAGATACCTACATGCCTAGATGAATCTGGGCATTGAACCCTGCCACTGAGCAAACCAATATCACAGTGCTTCAAAAAATTTTGCTGAAGTGGTCAGCATCTTGAAGAATAAGCTTATTTTAATATGGAAAAAAGGGTATGAAAAGGGGCACCAGAAACCACTTCCATATGCATTCCAAAATGTATTTTTAATGTCTAAAGCTGCAAAAGCAGCTACGATAAGAGTAAAATGAATTCTTGAGAACTGTTGTTTCCTCCAAAGCATGTTTATCCTTTTTAGCTAAAACTAAAGCAGTTTTCATTTGTTTAATTTCTGAAAACCAGAATACTAATGGAATAAAAATTAAAAGTATTTTCTGGATACTGAACTGCAGGATAGAAGAGCAATACAGCTTTCTGAGAAGATCAGGTATTTAGAGTCATCAAATTCTTGTGGTGGTGGTAGACCACGAGTGCAGTTACGATGAAGGAACCAGCCATCTTTGAGAAGCGTTGAGGCTGCTATTTAAAAGTAACAACCAGTACTATTAATAGTATTCTGCCTATTAGTGCATTCAGTAATGCTACAATGCTTCTGTGAGTGAGTGTTTGTAAAGAAGAACTTGCTGAGACAGATCAGAGCTTTAGTAACTTTTGGGAACTGCCAAGTAGCATCATCTGGACATGGCAGAGCAGTATCTGGAAGGACAAACAGGACATTGCATTATTCCCTTTGTTTTTTGAGAAGGGAGGTGTGAGCTACTTTGATGATGCTGAGAGGTCTTTTATCATCAAGGTTATAGGTGTCACTTTAAAAGTCTGTATACATAGAAAGCCTGCACACACAGAGTCGGTTTTGGTTTGTTTGTAGTAGAACAGGGACAATTTTTCTGACTAGCTCAAGATTTCATCCCCTCCACTCAGCATTTTCAAAGTTATTGCCACTTTTGAGTGATAGCCTGAAAGATGATCTCTTTGTAAAAAATGGTCCCATTGCAAGTGTTCCCGATTTGAAAAGCTGATCCTTTAGCCATATGACTTAAGTAACATGGATGTATTATAATTTTCTCCTCAGCAGAATATCAGGCGTTTAAAAAAAGAAAACAACAAAAAAAACCCAGAAAACCAACCAAAACCACCAAAAAACCCTGCCTGAAATAATACAAAATAAAATGAATGCACATAAAGGCAAATTTGTCAGGAATCCATATTTTCAGTAAATTCTAGTTAAAAAAAGTAGATGAAGTAAATGGAGTCTGGACTCCCCTTTACATTTTGTCATTTCTCAGCAAAATTCTTGACAACTTGGCATAATGTAGATCAAATGGATGGTTTTTATAATCATTGTTTCTCTGATTCCATCATGAGTTCTTTGGAATCAAATGAGGAAGAGCTCAGCAGACACTGTTTTGTGCTGAAAGTAGCCAGGAGAGCAATTAATCTGTAAAATATTTCTGCAGTCTCAATAGTTGTAGGCTACAATCAAATTTGTCAGAATATTTTTATCACAAAAGAGTCAGGTTGCATAACTAGCATCCATATCAGAAATATGCATTCCAAAATGTCACTGATTTTAAAGCTATTTTGAGACGTTTGCTCAGTGTGAAGGAAAGCTAAAAGAAATCATTCTGACTGGAGACAACAAACACTTCACTCACTGAACCCTGAGGTCAGAGGCAAGAGCTCCTCATCGTGACATCACTAATATCAAGAAATAGTGAACCTAAGAAGTGTCTGTTATGATTTAGGAACTGTTCTGTTACACGGAGAAACAAAAAAATTCCCTGCCACGGTGGCATTACAGAACATTTTGTGAGAAAATTCAACAAAACTTCATATGAGCTTGATAGTTCATCAGACGTACAAGCTAGTGGGAATGGCCCAGACCTCCTTCTATGTCAGCAGATTATTTTTTTCAATTACCAAAGAAGAGAATTTCATCAAAAGCCTCACTTGTTTTCAGAACAGGACTGTTTGTCTTCCATGAATATACTTAAAAATTTTAAAATTTGCCAACAGCTACTGGATATTGGAAACCACATTGCACCCAGAGAGCTGCTAAGTCTAAATGGAGTGATAGCAGAAAAATGGGAAATAAGTAAGTAAAGAACAGCAATAAAGAACAAATACAGATTGAAAAGCAATGGTTTTGTTCAGACTTAGTGAAAGGTATAGCTATTAAAGACTACTAGAATTTGTCTGTCATCGTAAAAAAATATATTTAGAAGAAAATAGCAGCATTCCTTTGTGTTTCTTACTAAGAGGCAAAAGGAACAGTTGTAACATTTCAATATAAATATCATTTTTCCCCTGGAGTAGAGGCTATGTTTGAGTTTCAAAACTAGCAACATAAAGTTAAATTTAGATCAGTTGTTAATAAGTTATTTTTCAGAAATTGACAATTACTCCAGAGCTAACATCACCTATTTCTGTTTAATAGGGATTGGTGACTGATTAAAACAATGTTGTTATTTACTTAAATACTGGAGAATAATTTTGGGTTCAACATTAGGCTGATTCTATGGTAAAACTAAGATGGCTGAGACCAATATTTTCAGTTGTGAGACTGCTCTTTTGACAACAGAAAGAACAGAATGATTCTTGTTTTATATAACAGAAACCTACAATTTCTATTTATCCTTAATGAACTGTGAACTTCCTATAAATTTTTTTCAGATGCCCCTTAATTCAATAACTTATAAGGAAGCGTTCACTTCCATCCTGCAAAATGTTGAAGACACAATGAAGACCTATTACATATACAAATGTTTACTTCTTATCTAAATAAATATGAAACATGGTATTCACTAGAAAGATTTGAGGCTACTCACAGCAATAAAGCATAGAGGTAAAAGCTCTGCTTTTTCAAAAACCCTGCTAATTCTGTTTGTAAACTTTACAAGTGAATGAAACAAAATAACTTTTAATAAAAGGGTAAATATAATCAGTGGAAATAACAATTTCAAAAGGTATATGACAACATTTCCCAGTAGTGGCCAAAGAAAACTTCAGGTTTGCAGAAAGGGACTTAATTCTGCAAGAAACAACTGCTTCACTTCTTTTCAGACCCTGACAGACACAGGCTTGGCAGAAATGGGTTCACAGATGTTGAAATGTTGACTTCATATGCCTAGTACAGCGTTACAGAAGAAATAATAATGTATCAAAAAGATTTGCTCAGAGGCTTCAAGCAATAGTGGAAAGCTTTATTCAATCACCCGTAGCAGCAAGGCTACCTTTATTTTCAGCTTTGGCTGTGTAGAATTTGCTAAAAATGCAAAAGCTTAACTCAGCATACTTTTTTTTCCTTTAGGTTCTCTGTTTTGTCTGGTGGGAGTACAAAGAGAATAAATACCTAAATTACTCTGGTTTCTGTTTTGCTCAATACAATTAGCTGCAGAGCAATGATAGCATTATGAATTTAGCCCATGGAGCAGGGAACTTAAAAACATCCAATAAAGGGAATGATGTATCAGCTCTGATTTCCTTACATTAATCTCCACAGCTGTGATTCTGCAACCCTTCCTCATGCTCCAGAAGAGCACTCTACTGCCTTGCAATTCAGCCTGATTACTTGTGTCAATATTTACTGGTTAATGTGAATGAGGCTTCAGAGATGAACTCTAAAGTAAAAGAAGATGCTTGAATGATATCAGGGTATTAAAACCTGGAAATTCTCATTTCCCTGCCTTTGACTTGTGGTGGACAGCTTGGAGACCACAATTCACAAGTCTGAGCAGTTGATACATGCAGTCCCATTTGTTTGAAAGGGAATGTTTATAAAGCAAGATGGTCATTGATATGAATAAACATGGACTGAGAGTGAAGTGCAGTTTGTAACTTGCCATCCCATTTTCCATTTGCGTCTAGGATACAACTGGCACCTGTAATGTTCTTGAAGGCAATTTGGAGCTAGTACCTTGCATTGTATATATGTAAAAAGTCAGACACTGACACGAAGAATTAAATATTTGCTCAGCTCAAACTTAAACCCTTGAGGTTTCTCACCCGTCCCAGTTCCCTGTGCCTTCAGGAAAGGAGCAACCTTTGGAGCAAGCACTGATGCTCCCACACCTCCCACCTTCTCACATTGGCAATTCTTGTATGAAAGGAAGAAAAAAACCTGTTTCACTGAACCTCACTGTAAAACTTCCTGGACTCAGTAAAGAAAACAACTGTTCAATCACTGGGTTTGTGCTGCAGCTGGACTGGCAAAAAGAGGAATATTACTCTTTGTCTCATGACTCTATAGAAGATTGGTTACTTCTCCTTTCTGCCTTTCACAAAAACCTTATGGTTTGAGTTAGGGTTAGAAACTGAATTTGATATAGTTGAGAATTAGAGTTTGTTAGTCTATGGACAACTTGGGGAAAAGACACCTGTCTTCTAGAGGTGTTTTGAGGTGCTGCAAGGAAGGAGCCATTATAATTTAAAAGGTCCACTTTGTTTTATTTAAGTCACACCTGTTAGCAGTTTTGTCACAAGAAGCTTTTTCATTAACAGTAGAGTCAACGTGCATTCTTCCATTTCAATTTTAAAAACAAATAAAGTTACCCACCTTTTGACTTCAGAGTTTCCACAGATGCTGTAAAATAAAAGAAAACATTCCAGAAAACAAGTTTTGCAAATGCATAAAGAAATTAAGATTGTTCCTAACACCTCTTCCCTTGGTCAATATGCTACCTATCTATGCAGAGCAGGCGTTCATTTTTTTATGCAGAGGAAAACTGACACACACATATGTTGTTTGTTTGGATAGTCTCGTGGCAGATGACTAATTAACCTGCAGATTAAAAGCAATGGAGAACAAGGTCAATAGGTAAGTTATATATGGAGCTTCAATAGCTCCACTATTTTCAAGTAACGAGGATGAGAGAAGGAATAAAACAGGCACATATCAAACATAGGGGGAGGGTATGAGATAGAAATCTTTAAACAACTTCAATAATTTGAGGAAGTTAATTTTTTTTTTTTTTTTAGTTTATTGAAAATAAAGCACAGAACTCTTCTAGTATTGATACAGGGGAAGATCCACTTTCAAAAGTCTTTCTTGAACATGTATTTTTTTCAGTTTAATTTGTTTATTATTCTTCATAATTGCATTAACTAAATACAAATTAATTGAACTACCACATTTCTCTTTCCTCATTATTCACACCTTCATTCTGAAGCACTGTGACAGGTTTTTATGCAATAAAAAAGGAAAAATTCATTTTTCTATAAATTCACTCTCTACTGCAGGTATTTTTTGCTCAGAATTTATATCTGAGAAAATAGAGTCATCTGATGAATGAGTCATCAAGCCTGGCTGTAAAAGGAGTTGAAAATCTTTATGTTTACGTACTGAAATAAAAAATTCTCACCCTCATCATTGTTCTTCTCAGCAACATTTGATCAGTTCTCAGTTCCAGAAGACCAAATGGCTGCATGTCTGCTCCACAGCCATTCATTTGCTGAAATATCTTTGATTAAACCAACAAATCTTTATCTCTGGCTTCACTTTTTTTGTCCCTTTACCTAATCCTGTCTCAACCTAAAATCAAACCAGATAAATGAGACTCTAAAACTTACTGTCTTTCACAGGTCTTACCAGGTACTTTTATTCCTTTCTTTGCTGTTTTGGCTGTAAAAACAAACAAACAAAAACCAAATATTGACTTTCACATGAATTAATTTAAAACATTAGGACAATTGAAAAGCAAGATAAAAAGGGGAGAATATTCACCAGTTTCCATAATTTTTTCTTTCTTGTGTAGTTCTGAAAAAGAAAAAAAACAAGTACACTTTTCTCTTGTAATATTTTGTTTCGTTGCCCTGGACAATCATTTTCATGTTACTAGTGGCTGTTGGATGTGGCATATTCCTTTGGACTCTCAGTTCAGGTGAGCCCTTCCCTACTTTCCCGCATGTCAAAATAAAACCTTTATTGTTGTCACCAGTCTCTTCAAGCGGTTTTCACACTGCACAAACAGAGTCAGATTAGCTGTTAATAATGGACGCCAATTTAACTCTTACAATAAGGTGTTAAAAGGAAATTCTAGCAACAATGCAGGTTAAAATATCTGCAGTTTTACTTCAGGGTGGTCTAAATGGAGGCCTGTGAATCAGCCCTATGTGCCTCAGGACATCTGTGATACGGTCCTTGCCTTTCTTCCCAGATACTGGAGAATAAGCAGAATATCTGGTCCAGCCACTGCCACTCTACAGCCATGGGAGAAGGGGAGGGGGTCCTGACCTCTTTTACACAAATACACAGCATGGGGGAAGCCATGACCCACAGCAACTAATCACCAAAACAGGTCCTGGGACCTGAAGCTGAAAAGCTTCATCCACCTAAACCCTATACCCTCTGGCAAACTATGACTGGGATTTACAAATTTTTAATGGTAGTTTCTGTAACAGCTCTTTCCATCTTGCCAGCATGTGCTTCAAAACCCCCTCAGAGAAGGAGTAGGTGGCCTACCAGAGAGAAGAGGGAGAGACTGAATGTGTCTCTCAGAAAGTGAGCATGATCTACCAGCCAGGGCTGATGTTCACAGTAGCAAAAATATAGATAAGCTTTTGCTGTCTGCAGATGCTTTTAAACAGCATGTGTAAAGGTTCTGGTGTGCAGGTTTGGATCCACACAGGCACATTACCTAAATTCAAGAGTATCTGAGCTGACTGATTAAAAAATAAAGACAGTCTCTATTAAATACATCCATTTGCCCATGTTTGTTCCTTACCAGTATCTGATGATTATATTTTCTCCGTAATTATTATAGGATATATTTGTATTAATGCTGTAGTATATAGTTGAAGAATATTAATGTTTAAACAGTTTCCACTCTAGAATCAAGATATAAAGTTCCATGTTCAAAGTGATGGTGAATGTTGTGCTCTCACTAAAAGCAAGCTTATCAAAACAACACCCCCCCGCCGCGGTGGTGTGCAAAAAAAAAAAAAAAAAAACCCTGCCAATAGAAAATTAAATATGTTCATCAATAACCTTAATACGAGTAATATAACATTAAATATTAATTCATAATCAATATTAATACTGAATGCACAGTGGACATCTAAAAGAGGTATACTCCATACAGAGCTATGAAAATAATTGATATTAGAAAGGACAGGCTGATCTGAAATATGACCCCCCCACACGATTGCTAAGTTTTAAACAAAATATGTCATTGCTCCATACTCCCACTCCCAGTATTGAGCAACGCATGTAGTTCTATCTGAAATAAAATATTCATTTTTGACTTTTTAAATCTATCTGAGGAGCCAGCTTATAAATATTTTAAAGCAAAATGTAGTTTCTAAAATAAAGTTTTGCTGAGTTCTTAGAAAAAAATATTTTTTTTCTGTTTTTACCAAAAATATTGATGAAATTTCATCACAATTTCATAAGCAATATCTTTCAGCCAAAATGTACACTTTAAAGCATCAAGACTAGTTGACTGAGATCAGGGACCCAGCTTTAATATTGTTATATAAAGCACATTTTAATGTATTTATTATATAACATATGTATTTAAAATATGATAGGTGCTTTATAGTCACATTGTAGATGAGGCATGAGATTCAGTGGAAATGGTCATGAAGCAGATTGATGTGGTCAAAGCAATGAGCCAGGAATATGATTTTCTCAGCAATATGGAAAAGTGATAGAGCTAGAGAGTGAGTTGGCATTAAACAGTTTATTGCCTGACTAAATCTTCTATTTTCTTGATGGCATAATGCCTTGGGTGGCAATCCTGGTATAGGTCAAGGAGGAGAAAGATAGCACAAAGCGAGAGGACAGAAGTTTGGGACTCAGTAGTTTGGCTGACTCAATGAGCTTAATCATAACAACAGCTGCAGCTTTGGTTTTGTGTAGCCCAAGTGCTCTTCAGAGTGTCCAATTTCATATAGATATTTTAGGAGTCATTCTGCAAAATGAGAATTGCGATTGGTTTCATGGGGTTTTCTGTTTTGCTATTGCTCAGGACTGCTTCCTGGAAACTGAAGGAAATGTAATTCTGACTATAGTGGTTCTGAGGCAATTATTTTTCCCTCTCATTTTAAGATCTCTCAGCTCTCATGAGATCAGGGAACAGTATGACATTAACAACACTCAGCAAGTGTTTTTGCAAAGTATAAAATTTTCGATTTATTTAGCTTTATTTCCTGTTTTTCAAAACTGCAAGCATTAAGGAAGTTCTATAGAGCTTCTTTTATAATAGTTTTACTTCCAGAAGCATACGAAATAAAATCCTTTCCCTGGGAAAAGAAAAAAAAAAAAACACGATAGAATTTGACATCAAACATTTCTGGTGAAATCTGACATGTTATGAAATATCAGGTGGATTCCTGCTCTGATATTTTAATGGAATGAACTGAAACCTTTCATTACATGAGCCATAAGCTTCAGGAAAGTTCAGACCTAGATCTTCCCTTTTTGTTACAGGTTATCATTGCTTGATCTCAACGTCTTTTTTTTTTTCTTTCTTTTTTTTTTTTTTTTGTTA